TGGCAGCAACAAAAGGTTAGTAGTTTTGTGTTGGGGGTTTTAAAACCTTTTTTTTTACAACACTGGATAATTTTGCAGCCTGAATTTGGCTTTGTAAATGGCTAATGATCACAAAACACAAGCACTGACATGGTAAAAAGGTAAATGAAATGCAGGACCTTAACTCCTTTTGTGCTGTCAGTGCTTTTCTAGACCTTGGCTTAGAGTTAGAAGAGGGGAGAAGTATCATTGTCAACATCAATCAATTAGAACATTGCAAAATGAAAATGGTGAGTCTTGTTACGCCAAAGAAAATTTATTTATTTGGTTCTGGTTTCATTGCAGAGTTGCTTAACACGGCAGAAGTATTAGATGGGTCTTGCCGGAGATTGCTGAACTGCTTATGGAATGTTGCCACATCTACTCCTACACTTACCAGAGCAGCTACACCCCACCTGGAAATGCATCAGTTCAACAGGCAGCCAGATAGCTTCTCTGGTCTTACCTGTAACTGGTATAGGCGCAGTGTGCACTCTACAGAGAGGCTCTTCCGGTGCAATACAAATAATTACTCTAAGCTTTTTAAGTATGTATAACTTACCTTTGTTTTATTGAAATGCTATCTTTTAAATATTGAATGGCATGTTATATTTGACATATATATATACACTACTTCTTTATGTATGATAATGCTGTAGCCATTATTTGTGTGTGATTTTATTTCAACAATCCCCTTTCAGTAGTGAAGATGAAATTCTGGATGCCCAGATCCAAGTACCATCCAGCCTTTTCTCCAAAGAAATGCTCAAGACAACCAATGGATCTGAGGAAGAAAATCCTACTGCAGCAACAAACACAGTGCAGCTCCAGTTCTTTGTTTACGACACAGCAAATCTGTTTCCTAGAGTATTGGCTGGAGGTTCTGATACCTGGGAGGTGACTTCGCCAGTTATTGGTGCTAGGATAGGCAACCAGGAGGAGGAAATGCTACTAGAGGATGGTGTTTACATCACTCTGCGGTCAGCTATTTATAGTCATAATATTATGCCAGTTTGGTGGAAAGAAAATGTTGCTGGTAAGCATGGCAATTGGACCAGTGAGGGTTGCAAGATTGTACGCATGCACAACTCTCTTATTGTTTTCCACTGTGATAGATTAGCGCATTTTGGACTCTTACAGGACATGGCAGCTTTACACAGAAATCAGGCTGGTGTCAGAGGAGCTGAGTTCAGGCTGAGTGCTCCTGGTGTGTATGTTGGCAGCGCTATTTGCATTTTATTCTTGATGGCATCTATTGTTACTTGGGCAGCTCATCATCATCGGATTGCAACCATGAACAAAAACAAGCATTCATTAATGAACACCTGGATTGCCCTCCTGTTATTGGTGACTATGTTTACTGTTGGAGTTTACCAAACTGAAAATCAGCAGTTGTGTCAAGGCATTGGTGTTGCACTCCATTACCTAACAACATGCGTCTTATTGTGGATCATTGTGACCGTCACAAACTTATATAAAAAGGTTACTAAAGCTTTACGGCCACCTGTGCCGATAGAGGAACCACCTCCAGACATACCACTCCCACCAAAGCCGATGTTACGTTTTTATCTTGTGGGATGGGGGATTGCGCTCATACTCTGTGGCATTTCAGCAGCTGTCAACCTTCAGCAGTATGCAGGCTACAGTTACTGCTTTTTAGCTTGGGGCCCCAGTCTAGGGGCATTTTATGCTCCTACAGCTGCCCTTGCTTTCATTCTTTCTACTTTCTTCCTTCTAACTCACTGCATGTTGAGGTCTCTAAGAGCCAACTATGCTGAAGGGACCGGGGCAACAGAAACAACAGAGCTGGAGCTCTTAGATGCTAATTCACCCAATTCCGAGAACGTAAATGGACCCGGTGAAGAGGAAATGAGTATTGCTTCACGTGATACGACTGTTAGTGTATCAGATGGGCAGCATAGTCCACTAACTCAGTTGAGGGCTCATGTAGTTACACTTCTGCTTTTTATTCTTACATGGGCTGCTGCAGCAATTACAACAGCAGCTCCTTTTGCATCAGTTATCCCTCATCACACAACCATTTTCAGCATCATATATGCTATATGTGCTAGCAGTCTGGGTATATTTATTTTCGTCTTCTTTTGCTTTAGCCGGAACGATGTCTGGGAGGCATGGCGTGAGTGCAACTGTGCATTCAGTCCTCAGAGAAAAGAAGAAGAAGAAGCACATTTGACAACTCCTGCCAACAATACTGGTGCTAACCATGTGATGCCATCCAACAATCAGCCGCGAGGGCCGGTGGGGGCCCCCAGCACTCACAGCCTCGAGTCCTCACACACTCACCAAACAAACAAATCCTCCTCCGTGTCACACAGTATTCTGACATCTAATAAGCCAGAGAGCCTAAGCAAAGCAACAAATAATTTACAGTTGCTGAGCTTCGGTACTATGACCAATGATCTCCACTATGCACCAGAAATTTTCTATAATCCTAAGCAAGTGGGTGTTGCAAAAAGGTTCTTCCAGAAGCAGCGGTTAAAGCAGATGGTGAAGCAGAACAATTTGGAAATAAATAGAACAGACAGTGATTGCAATTCTACTGTCTATAAACCTAAAATGTCCAGAGCTGTTAATTCTGAGTCTAGCAACTCAAATTTTGACCCATCTTGTCTCGGCGCTTCAAGTAAGGTGAACAACACTAATATACATGTAGATTCTATGTATGGTTACATACCAACTGAATTCCAAAAGGGGGGAGGAAAGCATGCCAATAAAGATCCAACCCCAGAGGTCTTGTGTGTTTTAGGTCCAAGTACGGATAGCAAAATTACTGACCTTTACCCTGCAATGGCACACGAGAGACCTATTGACATAGATAGAGGATGGTCGACCATACCACGCAAGCCTCGAGCATTTATGGAGGAACCTTTAAGCCCAATGAGAAGGGGTGGATCCTTCCCAAGTATTGTGGAAGAGGGACATTTAACATCTCAAGCCACCAGCCAAAGCTCTGCCCTTGAGCAGCTGCATTTTCTGCCTCAGGAGCAGTTAGAGCAGCAGCAGCTGTTCAGTTATCCAATCTTGGGTCAAGTGTCTCCAATGACACAGCAGCTAGTTCAGTATCACAATCCAAGACATCTTCAGCCACACTTAGATGGAGAAGCACATGCACATAGAAACAGAAATTCCTTCAATTCAGATTTGACAGAGAGATCAGATATAACAGGATTGTCCAGGGGCACTGATCACTCCCGCATCGGGCGACACCACAAGCATCGCTCAGGAAGAGATAGACCTCGATGTAAGCCAAGGCGGAAACCACCAAGACCAAGGGGCAATTGTGCACACGACGAGAAAGATGACTGGACGGAAGATAATACCTCGCCTATTATTATAAATCACCTTCCCTCTGGAGAGCATGGTCTGCAGTCTTCAGAATCAGAAAAGGATGGAGGTCCCCGCCAGTTTATGTCATACCCTCAACATGTTCATGCTATTTCTCCACCTAGTACCCAGAGAGCAACTCTCCAAGCTGGCCTTGATTCGCTCAACTCGGTTCTGCCAGCAGAACAGACGGGGGAAATGCTGTGTATTGACATGACTTGGCCTCATGTTATGAACTCGGGACTGCCTGGGAGTAAACATGGAAGAGTTAGACCAGACAAAGCCAATGGCCATAGCTATTCTCCAAACCTAGATGAAGTGGGAATGTGTTGTGGCGTGAACCATGGTGAGGAAGGAGATTGTGTGGCTTGGGATAGTGAATGTGGTGAGGTCTACTGGTGTGATGGAGGTGGAGAAGAGAGAGTAAGTGTTTGTGAAGTTAGTGGATGTGAAAATTCAAGTATGTGTGATGGAGCTTGTGGAACTCGAGGTGATCTGTGTGGGAGTCAGAGTAGTGATGGTGGAACTAGTGTGGGAGGTGCCAGTGTGGATCCAGCTGTTGGCACTAGTCCTCGCGGAAGTGTTAATATATCTGATTCCCCATATGACTCACCGTTGCATCGACTCCATCAAAACACTCCAGACAGTGGTTCTTTGGATTCAGGACTCCTCGGTTCACCAGGAAGGCCACCGTATGAACAAGAGCTTGCCAACAGTGGGCCAATTCATAGCACACCCAAAGATGGAATGACCCTGTCCACAAACCATCTTTCAGAATATGATCAGTATGTATATAATGATGGAAATTCTGTACCAAATGCTGCAGTTGTACAAGATACCAATTCAAATGTTAGTGACTCCCATAAGGATCTGAATGACTTTTACTATCCAGATACTAGTGAGTCAAGTTATCCAGAGGCAAATTATTCTTGTTCTCAGGAAGTGAATGAGTCTTGTAGTCCAGAAGTAAGTAATTCTTGTGGTTCAGAAATGATTGATTCTTGCACTCCTGAAGTGACTGGTTCTTGCAGTCCTGAGTTGATTGATTCTTGCACTCCAGAAGTAAATACAGCTGATTCATCTGGGAATTCTGTCTTCTACCTAACTACAAGTTCTGTTGAAACGGTTTTAAGAAATGGTGAAAAATGTGATGATGATAGAGAGTTTAGTGACAAAGAAAATAGTGAGAATAGTGATAAGAGAGAAAATGGGAATGATAATGAAAATAATGACATTGAAAAAAATGAGACTGACAATGATAGAAATACTGAACAAAACTCAGAATCAAATCCCAAGAGAGAGACTTGTGTATAGAAATTGTTTGAGGTGATGTACAGTATTTATATTGTAATAGTTCCTGTTTGTGGCATTTCATTTGTTTCTTGTCTTGGAAGATACTTGTGCTATTTAACTATATTGAGATACTTGTATTAATGTATAGGAGTAGAAATGAATTTGTACAGGATCAAGATAATCAGTTATATATTTCTAACTAACATCATATGTAGTTTCTGGCTCAGTACTCAACATATCAGTCAACACATGGAACATTTTAAAAACACTTTATCTTTATATGTGGGGTCAAACTTTTAACTGTGCATTGTTTAAATGTGTTATTTTATGACAGACTTTTAATGAAAGTGACAACCATCACTGATCCTCCTGCCCTATTACCTGTCAGTGTTTTGTTTATGTCAGGTCCTGATCTTGGATAATGTCACCATTCCAGGGCATTGTCTCATTGGCAGCCAGTTGAAATTCTGCTGCCAAGCAAATAACAGTACTTATAATAAGTACTTGTCAGCCAAAAAGTATAGAGTAGTTTTGTATAATGTAATTTATGACTTTGTTTTCATGGCTTTAGGCAGTGTGCAAATGTTTGTGTGATGAAAACTTTTAAATATTTGGCTTGGATATTGTCCAGAAGTAGGTAAGTGTCTTTTTTTTTTTTTTCCTCTCGACATTTTGAGGTTACGGCTTGTGACGCATAATCAGTATCATGGGTACATCAGTTAAAAGAGTTCAGATGGAAGTGGGAAGGCTCCTAAAATCAATGTAATTAAACTGCAAAACTCTAGCTGTTCAGTATTAAGCATTACCAGTAGGTGTAAAACATATACTTGCCCTATTTAATGTATATGCCAAAGTTTAAAATGTTAATGTCTTGTGAAGCTGTCAGTTTCATGTTGGTCTTCACTGGCATTGTGAAGGTCAGTTAGGTATGACTGAGCTTTGAACATTTGTACTCACACCCTCCAATCCAGGTTTGAGGACTCTGAATTTTTATTTTGTAATACAGTAGCATATTTTTGGATGAACTGAGACAAAGAAGCTGGTGTGTGCTAATCGTTTGATCAAAGTTAATACTGGAAAAAGCTTTCTCCAACAATAGATTGAACTTATATATCAAAATGTGTTTATAAATTATTTTTTGAATATATATATATATATATATATATATATATATATATATATATATATATATATATATATATATATATATATATATATATATGTATATATATATATGTATGTGTGTGTGGGGGGGCTGTGTACATGCGTGTGTGTGTGTCTATGTGAGCATATATATATGTATGTGTATATATGCATAAGTATATATATATATATGCATATGTATGTATATGCATGAGTGTACATTTGTATCTATGCGTGTGTGTGTGTGTGTGTGTGTTTGTGTGTGTTTGTGTGTGTGTGTGTGTTTGTGTGTTTGTGTGTGTGTGTGTGTGTTTGTGTGTGTGTGTGTGTTTGTGTGTGTGTGTTTGTGTGTTTGTGTGTGTGTGTGTGTGTGTGTTTGTGTGTGTGTGAGTGTGTGTGTGTGTGTGTGTACGTGCATATATGTATGTATGTATGTATATATATGTGTGTATGTATGTATATATATGTGTGTATATATATATATATATATACGTGTGTGTATGTGTATATATATATATATATATATATATATATATATATATATATATATATATATATATATATATATATATATATATATATATATATTTTATGTGCATGTACAAATATATACACATACTGTATATACATGTATATACATATGCATTAGTTACTGGAGCAGAAACAAAAATAACACAAGATATTCATCACTGTCACTTGTAAATGTGTATTGTTTAACTGGAGGGGTTCAAAAGTGACACGTAAGATCAAAATTAACTTTTAAATGTAGATATATTATTTTTACATTGCCAGCAGTTATAAAATTTCTAAAATGGCTTGGAAACATCATTTTAATTGTACAGTACAATGAATTGTGCATCCAATCAAATATATGTTTTGGTACCTTTGTGGTTGCTACAGAAATTTGAATGTGGTTGAAAATTTGACTTGGCCTTGTTTCCTCGAAGAAAGTACGTGGAAATGATTCTCCATTCTTTCACTATGAAACACTTCTTATGCACAGTTTCTGCTCATGAACACTTTCTAGAAACACATATTTAAGTTGTATCTTTTCTTTCTTATTTAAGGTGACGTTAATTTCTGTCCTGCACCGTCTTTTAAGTAACCAATGTATTTCATCCAGTTTCATATGTTTTACCATAGGCATCTGCTTTGTTGTAACATAGAAAATACACATTGAATCACTTAAAAAGGAAGAACATTACCTCAAATTGTATTCAAATTATTTCAAAGTACTTACCATAAACTACTTAATAATTATCCTTCCTAAAAAAAAATAAAAAAAAGGAAAAGTAAAGCTGTCGGTACTTCAGGTGGAGGAGCCTTTCAGCCTTTACTGTATGATAGGGTCTGGTGAAAGCATTGCTGAAAGCACTATTAGCAAGCACTTATAAAGTCAACTGTATATAAGTTCTGTAAGTCTGAAGTATGAATCTAAGGATTTATATGATGTATAAATAAATATGTGAATTTTGTTTCCTATTTGTTTTCCCCATTCTCCCCCTAATGGTATTTTAGATTATTTGTCTTTTTCATTTAGGTGTTCAGAAAGTTGAATCACAGGCTATTTTCCAAGGTGCTCTTTCTACACTGAGACCATACAAGGTTGGCAGTTTTGAACTTTGATACTCAAGTTCTCTTCTTTTTTTTCCATAATTTTTTTTCTGCAACTTAGGCTTTACTTAAAACTTTAGAAACCAAGTCAGTCTGTACTTCCTTTGCTGCCATTGTCATTTATCTCATGCTAATCCAGGTTAGCAAACAATGGGAGACCTTAATCTAGTTTGGAAAGTTTACAATGCATTAACAGACTGTATGTATAATTAAACTTTATCTGTACTTACTGTCAAGCTCTTTCACAAAGTTATAGATCACCAAATATTAGTGTATTTTTTTGTATGGTAGACTTGGTTGAACTTCCAGCATTTCATAATTATCAGTCATTTTCATATTTTTTTATGAATAACAGTGATTAAGCCTACTATCCATACATTGCATGTAAAATATTCTGACTGTACTTACTTCACATCTACAATAACATATATAAATTACATATCAAAGGGGGGGAGGGTTACTGTTAATATGTCTAATCATTGTTCCTTTTTCAATGATAAATCAAGTTCATACTGCACCATACCTAAACAGTTAGGACCCCAGGGGCCTAGAATATTGCAAGTCCTACTTTATTTTTTTGTCATTCAAGGCTGTCTCTGTTAAAAACCAGATGGTGGTGAACTAATAATAATAAAAAAAAAAGTATATCTGCATATATTTCTGTGTAATTATATATTACCAGTATATGTAATCTACACATATTGTTAACGTCATGTCAATAAAAGTCACTTCAAAATAATTCAACTTTTATATATACAAAAGATTTGTCTTACAATAAGCAGAATAAAATTACACAAACTTATGTTTACTATTCTTGATAAGCATTTATATTTCTCCATGTACAAGTATACACTATATATTTGGTGGCAATGCCCATCCAACACTTTTACTGAAAGTTCTAGTTCTATTAACAATACTCTTAACTTTTTCTTCTATCAAGACTTTGTCATTATTTAGAAGACAAGAACACTCACTCGAGCATTGTCGAGACACTTTGGCATCCTCACCGTCTGTCATTATTTTATCAAATAGTTCGCTATTTGGTTTATAATATAACTGCAATGAGTGCTTTATTTCAGCTTGAATCTTATATGCTTCATTAACCTGCTCTTCACTCAAATTGCATTTAATCAAACATCCAAGTAGGAATCCATCAATCCTAGAAAGCAAACTAGTGGGGTTAATGCTGGACTGAGGTTGAAATGCTTTTCGGAATCCTTGCAATCTTCCTTCCGCTTCTTCCTCTTCAAAGTCCCCGAGAATGGCATTTCTGTAGCCAGTGTGACTCAACTTTTCAAAATCAGAACGCAAGTCCCAAAGCCTGTCTTCACTGTCTTCTAGGTCCTCTAAATCAGCTGATGGGGCTTGTGCGCTGTCACTGCAACTCGTAAATAAAAACCTTAACTAATTTTAATTTTGATTACTTTTTTTTTTATGTAACAACTGATTAAAACAGCATGTATGTAACATTTGTGATATCAGTCTGGGAAATACACAATCATATACATAGTTACTTATTTTTTCAGGCTTATGTTTACTGCTGCCAAGCAATCAACGACCCATTGGGGATATTCCTGGTTTTTGTAGTATGTAGACATGAAGTCCTGCACAAACTCAACGAAGCAACCTTTTTTGATGCTCTCCCTTATGTTCTTCATCAGTCTCATCTGTAGGGATATACAGTTTAAGAGAGACAGTTTGTTTTAATTTTAAAACATGAAACAGGCAACATTCTTTTCTCACAGTTCCTTAATCAATATTATATAAAGTATTATATTCATATTTGCTATCCTTGTCTATGTGAGTGTCATAATGTATCCTACATGCCTTGTGATCATGCAGTGACTTTGGGCTGTTACTACAATGTGGGAGTCAAATGGGAAATTTGTAAATTCATAAAATAAAAAGGTTTTATGAGGCCCCATGTGGTGCCACACTCTAATTGGGATAAGATTGTTAGCTGGGACTATGAGCCAAGAAAGTGTTGGGACCTCTAATAATCTTGCAATTTACCCCACACTACATCCTGATAAGAAACTTTGCATTGAATCAGCCTCATGATCTCTTTTTCCAGTGATCAAGGTAACTGAAAATATATACACTTTGGCAAACTGACCTGGGCAATGAATATATATTACTGCAATAGCTTCAACAATGATTACTCCTATACTACAAAAACACACACTAAGACAGATGGCAACAAGCAAGGACTCTGCTTGTTAACCCATTCTGTTCCTCACCCAAGAGTGGATATATATGTTTTGTGTAATCAAACCATATTATATCTTAACCCATTCGCCACATGTGGCAAGAATAGATGCCATGCCCACTTTGATACACGTTTATTTATTGTATTTACACATAGATGGCTCCACAAGTTTTTAATCACCAAATGGCCAGTTATCAAGAACTACCTATTTCACCTGTTTACCCTTTTCCTTCACTTTAGGAAAGTTTTTTTTTGTATCATTTCATAGTCAAAAATATTCTAATGACAATTCAATAAGCATAACATCAATAACAATTATAATAGTATTGAAAGCAATAGTATTAGTTTTCCCGCCAGTTCAATGAATGGGAAAATCAG